ACTCAGCCGTGCAATATTCACAAGCATTGTGCAAAAAATTTTAAAAGAGGTGCCCAAGGATTACAAAAGTCAAGTCAGCAATAGAGGGAACAGCAACTCGCCCATACACAGCAGTGCAGACACTGAGGAGAATGAAAATAGGAGGACACAGAAACTACGCAGCAAAATTCCAAGCAAGAATCACTCTCAAATCATGCGATGCAATTCAGAAATCAACCAATAGGCAGAGAAGAGAGCATTATAGCAGCAATACTTAGGAACAGGAGCAAATCCAAAGGCAAAATTTTTTTTTTTTTTTCAAAAAAAGCTCAACAACTCCCAACAACAATCCCTCCCCCACACTTGATCAATACATTGTCCTCAATGTTAAGATAATTTGTGAAATGAAAATAGACAAATATAAATCAAGTGATCAGAAGAGATGGCAGAATCAAGAGGAAACAAAACAAACAACTACTAAACAGAAATAAACTACACTACAACAACTACATGGCTAAACTGGAAGTTCCCTTCCCCACACTTACTCCTAACTATCTCAGCAACAATATCACCAGCAATACAACATAAAGTAAAAGAGTAGGGTGGAAGGGAACAACCGGGTGATCAGGGAGGTCTTGATTCTCATGGTAGTGCTTCAGTAGATGGCCGTTGACTTGTGAAGTTATACCGGTCTCCTCATCTACGAGCTCTACCGTGCCAAAGGGATATACTTTAGTAACTCTAAACGGACCTTCCCACTTGGTGACAAACTTCCCCCGACATCAGCTTCAACCGGGCTTTAAACTTTAGAACCTTGTCACCTTCATGAAACTGCTTCCTTAGAATCTGTTTGTCATGAATCATTTTCAGCTTGTCTTTGTAGATTCTGGCATTGTCAGGATTCAAGTCTCATCTCTTCAAGTTCCTGGAGTTGCATCTTCCGATTGATAAGTGAAGATTCAAGATCTGCATCACATGCCTTGATTGCCCAATAAGACTTGTGCTCGATCTCCATAGGTAGATGGCAAGCCTTGCCATAGAGCAACCGGAAGGGGGACATGCCTATAGGGGTCTTGTAGGCAGTCCTGTAAGCCCAAAGAGCTTCCTCAAGCCTTTCACTCCAGTCCTTACGGGATGGTTTCACGATCTTCTCAAGTATTCGTTTCACTTCCCGGTTAGAGACTTCAGCTAACCCATTCGTCTGAGGGTGATAAGGAGTGGCCAGCTTGTGATTGACTCCATGTTTAGCCAATAGAGACTTGATGGTCCTGTTGCAGAAGTGTGTTCCTTGGTCACTGATGATTGCTCTTGGAATGCCATACCTGCAAAAGATATGAGAACGTAAAAACTTGGCAACAGTAGAAGCATCATCTTTCCTAGTTGGCACTGCTTCTACCCATCGAGACACATAATCTACTGCAAGTAATATGTATGAAAATCCAAAAGACGAAGGGAAGGAACCCATAAAATCCATGCCCCACACATCAAAGATTTCACAAAAATGCATAGGTCTTAGAGGCATCTCATGCTTCCTACCCAAACTCCCAAACCTCTGACACTTATCACAAGACTTGCAGAAAGAATAAGCATCCTTAAATAGAGAAGGCCAATAAAAACCACACTCTAAAACCCTCCTAGCAGTCCTATTAGCACTAAAATGCCCCCCACAAGATAAAGAATGTGCAAAGGTAAGGATAGAGTGGATCTCATTATTTGGAACACAGCGTCTGATGATCTGGTCACTGCATTGCTTCCACAGGATTGGAGCATCACAGATATAGTATCTTGCCTCCCTCTTCAGCTTATCAATCTGAAATTTAGACATAGAAGGAGGTATAAGGTCAGTGACAAGATAATTAACTATATTAGAGTACCAAGGCTCATGAACAGCCAAGGCAAAAGTGCAGAATCAGGAAATGAGTCAATAACAAGATCAGAAGAGTCAACTCCCTGTGTGCCTTCAGGTAACCGACTAAGGTGGTCAGCTACATGATTCTCCGCTCCGGCTCGATCTCTAATCTCGATATCAAACTCCTGTAGCAGCAAAGCCCATCTCAGCAGTCTAGGTTTAGACTGAGGCTTCTTAAATAGGTATCGAACCGCTGCATGATCTGTAAAGACAACCACTCGAGAGTTTATAAGATACTGTCTAAACTTATCCAAAGCAAAAATAATAGCAAACAGTTCCTTCTCCGTAGTGGTATAATTCACTTGAGCGGAATCAAGCGTCTTGGAGGCATATGCGATGACTCTAGACTGTTTCTCCTCCTTCTGTCCAAGCATGGCACCTACTGCAAAGTTAGAAGCATCACAAGACAACTCAAAATGTAAATTCCAGTTAGGTGCAGTGAGAATAGGAGGTAAAACAAGCATAGATTTCAAAGTGTCAAAAGCATGTCTACACTTATCATCAAATTTAAATTCAGTATCCTTTTTCAATAAGGTAGAAAGAGGCAGAGCAACTTTACTAAAATCCTTAATAAAGCGCCGATAGAAACCTGCATGCCCTAAGAAAGACCTCAAATCCTTTAAACAAGTAGGATAAGGAAGGGATGAAATAACTTCAATTTTGGCCCTATCAACCTCAATCCCCTTTGAGAGATGAGGTGACCTAAGACTATCCCTTTATCAACCATGAAATGACACTTTTCAAAGTTTAAAACCAATTTCTTATCAATACACCTCTCAAGAGCCTGCTCTAGGCTATTCAAGCACTCATCAAAACTCTCACCATAACAGTGAAGTCATCCATAAAAACTTCCATGTTTTGCTCTAGAAGATCACTAAATATCGCCATCATGCACCTTTGAAAGGTGCCTGGAGCGTTACACAACCCAAATGGCATCCTTCGATAAGCAAAGGTACCAAAAGGGCATGTGAAGGTAGTCTTGTCCTGATCTTCAGGAGCGATAGGTACCTGAAAATAGCCAGAAAAACCGTCAAGAAAACAATAGTGAGACTTTCCTGAAATTCTTCTCCAACATCTGATCTATAAAAGGTAATGGAAAGTGGTCCTTTCTCGTAGCATCATTCAACTTCCTATAGTCTATACACACTCTCCAAGCATTTTGAACCCTAGTTGGAATCAGTTCATCATTTTCATTTCTCACTACTGTGATACCGCTCTTCTTTGGTACTACTTGTACCGGACTTACCCACTCACTGTCTGATATGGGATAGATGATCCCAGCACTCAACAACTTTGAGACTTCCTTCTTAACCACATCCAAATAAGAGGATTCAGTCTCCTCTGTGGTTGCCTAACTGGCTTGGACCCTTCATTCAAAAGGATCCTGTGTGTGCAAACTGAGGGATTAATCCCCGAATATCCCCTAAAGACCATCCTATAGCCCCTTTATGACTCTTAATACAGAAATCAAGTCTTTCTTCTTCAGAACTACTCAAAGAACTGGAAATAATAACAGGCAATTTAGAATCAGCAGCAAGAAAGACATATTTCAAATTAGAGGGGAGGGGTTTCAGTTCTAAATCAGGAGGTTGCACAACAGAAGGAACTAATTCTTTTATGTCAAGTGCATTCAATGCAAGTGGCATGTCCATATGGCTTGGGGAAGGAGATATAAGCTCATCATGATGTGTATGTCCTCCACTTCCCAACTCAGTGCCATTCTTGGATGACCTACAAAAAGAAGGATCGGTATCAATTTTATCAACAGAAACATCAAGTAAATCACAAGAAAGAGTGGGATTAGAAGTGACTAAGTCAGTAGCAAGCTTGTTGCTAGCCTCTTCTAATGTTCCAGCACCACTCAAAGGGAAGCTACCGGTGTAGCTTGTGTAACAGCTCCTTTATCATCAGTACCTGCAGAATCAACAAACTCGCCTTTCTCAAGGCTATCATCAAGTGTAATGTTCAAGGCAGAATCACAGTTAAGACAAGATGATGCATCAAAATCATGAGAGATGGAAAGGAGGTGATCAACTTCTAAACAGTTAACACACACCACGTCACCATAACATGAGCAAAAAGAAGAAGAATGAGGGGTAGATAAACAAGTAAATGCATCATCATGCTCAGCAATCTCACCATACCAGTCATGTTCATGCATCTCAGATTCATGCAAATCATCAACATCATTAACAGCACAATCAATCAAATTAACACCCAAGTAAGAGCAATCTGCATAACCTTGACTCATAGCATCAGAAATGTTGAAGGTAATCTGTTGGTCCCCAAAGCCCATGGTAATGACCCGTCTTTCACATTAATTATGGTTTGGGCTGTTCTAAGAAAAGGTCTTCCTAGAATCAAAGTGCTATCGGCTTTAATCTCATCAGTCATATCTAGCACATAAAAGTCAGCTGGGAACACAAGACCCTTCACTTGCACAAGAACGTCCTCAAGAAAGCCCTTAGGATGTCTCACAGTCCTATCAGCTAGACCTAGCACAACACTGGTGTCTTTCAAGGCATGAATACCCAAACTCTCATAGATAGAGGTAGGCATAACATTTATGGCTGCACCTAAGTCTAGTAAGGCATGTGAAATGTTTGTTTTGCCTATGGTACAGGGAATAGTGTAAGAACCCGGGTCTTTACACTTAATAGGCAGCTGTGGTTTGAAAATAGCACTAACACTAGACCCCAGTTGGATTCTCTCACTATGCCTATACTTCCTCTTGTTTGTACATAGATCTTTCAGAAACTTAGCACACTTAGGCATCTTCTTAATCAAATCAAGTAATGGCACATTAACCTCAAGTTTGCTAAACATTTCAAAAAGCTCATCATTATCTTTCTTTTCAACAACTTTCTTACTCATGAGATATGAATGAGGAAAAGGCAAGTCAGAAATATTTACCTCATCACCTTTGGAGGATGATCCTTTCTCTATTGGCTCTTTGGATTGAATGGAGGTCTCTTGAGTGGCCTTGGGAATGTCTTGAGTGGTTTTAGAAGGAGGAGACTCAACTTCTATCTCTTCATCAACCGGTTCTTCACCCTCTTCATCATCTTTGAATTGCACTGTCTTAGCACCAATTTCCTTACCGCTTCTCAATGTAATTGCATTCAAAGATTTAGGATTTATCACCGTGTTGGAAGGCATTGAACCACTAGCCTTAGCTTGCTGTTCACTCACACCATTTGACAACTTAGTGACATAAGAAGTCAAATTAGAGGTTCTAGTTTCCCATTGCTCCATCCTATTCTCTAGGGCTGCAAATCTAGCTTCAGATTTAGCTTCAGACTTAGATATGTGCTCAGTCATTGCCTCAATGCCCTTGAGTATTCGAGAGAACCGCTCATCATCCTTAGACTGTGATTGCTGTGGGGTAGACATAGCTCTAGAAGATTCTCCTTGTAACCCTCCATAGTAAGATTGCCCTTGAGGAACTATATTCCCTTGAAACCCCTCTTGAACCTGCCTATTGTCACCTCCTCCCCATCGGAAATTTGGATGAGCTTTCCATCCTTCATTATATGTGTTTGAGTATGGGTTCCATTGCTTGGATTGATTGGCCCTTCCTTGATACATGGCAGAAACTTCCTCATATCTATGAGGGCAAGCAGCAGAGATGTGCATAACAGAATTACAATGCTCACAACTAGGTGCAGTCATCTCCATAGAATTAGGAGTCCGAGTGTCACAGGGGGAGTGTGAGATGCAAGCTTATTCAACTGTGTAGTCAAAGCAGCAATTTGAGAAGTGAATGTGTCCAATTGAGGAATGTGGACTGAAGAAGGATTAGCATGCATTGCATTGATATTTTTAGACTCCCTGATGCTATACTGTTGATGGTTCAATGCCATTTTCTTGATAAGTTCCCATGCCTCCTCAGCAGTTAAATCAATAAGAGAACCCCCAGAAGCAGCATCCAACATCCCCTTATCTTGGGTCTTAAGTCCATCATAAAAGTATTGGACTAACTGCTCATCTGGAATCTGATGGTGTGGACATCTAGAAAGCAAGTCCTGAAAACGGTTCCAGTAGTCATAAAGTGACTCATCATAATCTTGCTTTGCAGAGTAGATCTCTTTTCTCAATGTAGAAGTCCGGGAAGCAGGGAAATACTTCTCCAAGAATGCTTTTCTGAGGTTGTTCCAGTTATGGTAAGCATCTGCCATATAACTAGGCAAGCTCATGTACCATTCTCGCGCTTTGCCCTCCAGAGACAAGTGGAATACCTTCCAAAGAACCTCATCCAGATTAGCCCCAACCGGCTTCATGCTAGCACATACCATAGAGAGAGATTTCAGATGTTTGTACGGGTCCTCACCTGTCAAACCATAAAATTTAGGCAAATTATTAAGCAGTGGACCTTTAATCTCAAAATTAACATCAACATTAGGGCATGCAACATTAAAAGGATCATAATTTGCATCAGAAGTAGTGGCTTCCCTAATGGTTCTTCTTCTAGGGTTATCTCCATTATTCTCTCCTACTCTGTCATGCTCCCCATTATGTCCATTGCCCCCTCTCTCATTACCACCATTGTTGTTACCATTAGGATTATTAACTGTTTCCATTATGTCACCTAAGTCAACCACCAAATCTAGATCAGTTAAATTGTCTAGTTCAACCTCACTAGTCCTTTCTACCCTTGAGTCTTGTCTAACTTCTCTTAAAGAACTTTGAAGCTCAAGATTGGAAGGAACTAGGGTTTTAGACCTACCCTTTCTTGGCATAAACAATCAATCAACTAGAAGTAATTAAGCAAAAAAAAAAAACAGATGAATGCAATGCAATGAATGAAAATGAAGATATTTAGTTGTATTTTTGAAATTTTTTTTTATGCAAAGGAAGAAGAAAAAAAATGCTATGAAAAATCAAAAGAAACAAATGCAAACTACTAAAGAAAATGCAAAAACTAACAAAAATGAAATCTAAAAAGGCTCAACAAATGAACCCCAATCAAGGCTACTTGACACTTAATTACTAGGGAACCAATTTCTTGGCTCCCCGGCAACGGCGCCACTTGAAGTTTAACTGCCCTTAATTGTCGCTTTGGGGTTACTCCAAAAATTAACCGAATTAATGCAATATAGTGCAAAACTCGGGTCGTTTCACTTTGAGGAGCCGAAAACGAAATTAAACCCTAGTAAATGAATGCAAGTAACCTAAACTATAAAAAGAGATTTTTGATTTTGAAAAGCTGTTAATTAAATACTACGAATCAAATTGAAATTAAAATACTTTTTTTTTGTTTTTATATAAAAGTGATTAAAAAGAATGGAGATGAAAGAAATGGAAATGAGACACACAAATAACACTGATGATAATCAATCCTCCAATTCAACAACGCAGGCAATCATCACTCTAAAAGATGTGGGAGTTAAAAACAATGAATTAAGAATTATAATTAAGCTTTTGATCCAACAACCGAGCCACCTCGAGTTGCCACAAAATGTTTTTCTAAAATCCCAATTTACTAACTGCAACCAGAATAGTAAAATGGGATTAAGGATGCTAAAAACCAATGCTTAATTAGAACTCTTAAATCCAAAAATAACAGAATTAAAGCTAGCAAGAGACTATATGATCCAAAATTCTAAGCCACCTTAGAAAATCACAATATATTAACTCCAAAATCAACATAAATGTCATAACCACGACATCATAATTGAAATCAAAGCTCTAAACAGCCCAATGTCAAATGCTAAACAATAATCCAGTCACAATAATCCCCAAATATAATCAGATTAAGCAATACAATTATCCCAACAATTAGAAAAACTATCCTAAGACCTAGGAATTGTTAAACAATTATTGAGTAGGAAATTAAAGTAACTTAAACTCCCCTTTGATGATCCAAGCTCCTGCTATTATTGTTGAATTAGAGGATCTCAGAGCTCTAGCCACGCATAGCCATGAAAAATGCCACAATCAATCCTTTTTTGCGGTCAGCCATGGAAAAATACTGTTCACGCCGTCAGCTCCCTGCTTCGTCGCCGTCGAGCTCGTGTGCGTGTTTTTATTTCAGCGACGCTTGCGTCCTCTGCTCCTCCGTTCGGCCTCGCTCTGTTTCGTATTCGCCGGCGTTCAGCTCCTCGGTTTCGTTCTCTCCCGTTCGGCTTTGGTTCGCTCTCAGCCGCCGTCTGCGTGTGTGTGTGTTTTATTTCAGCGCTTGTGTTCTCCTTTTACTTCCAGCCGCCTCGCGTGTATCAGCTCGCTTGCTTCCTCTCGGGTCCCCTTGATGGTGAATGTAATATTAGATATTAGGGGTGGAGCAAAACGCAGCGTTTTGCTCCCCCTTTTTATTATTTTATTTTTTTTATTTTATTTTTTCTTTCTCTTTCTTTTTTTTATTTCCAAAATCTTCCAAAAACCTACAAGCAAAAATTTAAAGATAAGGTAGCATTAATTGTCCTCAAAAATCAATTAGTCACAATTAAATCAAAACATGACAATTTTGCCCCTATAAAATAATAATTCAAAATAAAACAAAACAAATCAATTAAGGCAAAAAGGGACCAATTAAGCTGACAAAACTCATATAAAAGATACCAAAATATATAAAAATAATTGAGTTTGTCACCCGCATGATAGTTTCAGGACCGAACTTTAAAAAACATACCACTTTTAAAATATACCGGCTTTGCAAATCAATCACTACGAGCCAAATTTAGTGTAAAAAAAAATTAAATAATCGAATAAATCACTTTCTTACCTACCGCACTTGAAGATTTCATCGAGGGATGATGAATATATATTTGCGCCATGTATGAAAAGATTTCACCAGCAAGTACACTCTCTCGCCCTGTGTATGGGGCAGTTTTTAGAAGAAAGCTGTGATTCTCAATAAAGGCATGTTTTATCTTTTCATCAAAGAAGAAAAAAACTAGACCGAACTGGTCGGTTCAACCGGAAAATCAGTAAACAAGATAGTGGTCTGTTTTGGCTTGGGTAATAATTTGGCCAGGAGTTGAATTGGTATCGAATTGGTCAAACCAGAGTGAATCGGTAAAAACTGGCGTGAACCAATAATAAACCGGTTTAAATGGTTATGTTGTTATTTGTCTGATTTTTTTCCTATTTAGCTCCTAATATCTCAGTCACGATAGATTTGAATGAACTTACATGATAATTTTGGTATAAATGATTATTAATTTTAGTTATTGATGAATCATAAAGATCAAAATTCTTAATATTGTACTTTGTTATTATTACAATCAAACTATTGTTATATTTTCTTATATTCTGTTATTAATGGTTATTAATGTTATTGTATTTTGTTATTTTCAATTAAATTATATTATTTTAATATTATCAATTTGATCTCGAGTTAACACTAGCCTGAACAACTGATCCTTGAATTACTACTTAATTGGTTTATTATCTAGTCCAGTTTTTTGTTTCTTGGATTTGATGCAGTATTTAATTTGTTATTTGGTACATGTGAAATGCCCTCCTAGGTCCTAACCAACATTCCCATATAATGTAAAATCATTTTAAAATAACGTTTGTTATGAGATAAAAATAGAAAGTGACACAAATGCAAAACAATTTTATTATTCTTCCATCTTTTAACTAACATATATTGGTTTCAACTTTTAAATAGAGAGCAATGGCTTCCACTAACCACGTACAGAACATCTCAAGCGATAAACACGAGGAATCAAGTGAGCTATAAGCTTGTATTTCTACCTCTCAAACCAAGCCAATGGCTCTCCGTCAATACACCTTACTTTCAAACGCTACTCTCTTCAAAAACAAAATCGTTCCTTCACTTTCAACAATAAAGAGCTCTTGTGTTTCTTGTTCAGTCCAACGCAGGGCTTCTTACATTATCGCTTTTGGTCAAGATAATACTTCTCGTCGATCTGCAAACTACTTCCAACCTTCAATTTGGAACCACGACTATATCCAGTCGTTAACAAGTGATTTTGTGGTATGATATGTACTTTATAGCATTCATATTATTTCCTTGTTTTATGGGTAATATATGTTTATATAATATAGGTTTTATAATCCTTAACAATGAAAAAAATGTGAACTTTTATTTTACAGGAAAAATCATATGCGGAAGAAAGTGACCTACTAAAAGAGGAAGTAAGAGTAATGCCCTTGAAAT